CCCGCCCACCGATTCTACATCACTGCCTGTTTAGCCCCACCCACCAATTCTACATCACTGCCTGTTGCATCACTGGAGGAAGCGTTATTATGGATTATGGACTCTTCAAAATGGTCTTGATGGATTTGTTTGACGTTAATAAATAGACTGCAGTGGTGTGGAGTACTTGTGGATTATTGTGATGTTTTTATCAGCTGTTTGGATTCTGACGGCACCCATTCACTTGCAGAGGATCCATTGCTGAGACAGTGATGCAATGCTACATTTCTCCAAATCTGATAAAGAAACAAACTCATCTGCATCTCAGATGGCCTGAGGGTGAGAATTTTTTCAGGAAATGTTCATTTTTGGGTGAACTGTTCTTTTAATATAGTGTTCTGATAAAACCCTGTGGCTAACATTTGCAGAATATTCTTCAAACGATTTGCATTTAAAAACAGAACAGCCATTTCTATCACATAAATGTGAATTTACATGACACATTTGTTATTAAACAACATTATTTACACAATCTTAGATTCATTCGTTTATTCCTTCCACCTTTTGTGTGTCACACCGCTGCTGAAACAGATGCTGGAATCAAGTTATTCTCATCTTAAACAAACGGATGTTTTGTTGTAAAGGTCATTTAAGCGTGTGCATTTACCTTTCATCAGGACGTAACGTGTGGCAATAAAATTCAGGTCGATTAACGAAGAATCCCGTCCTCTTGACCACATTCTCAGCGATCATACTGAGACGATCCAACACGTTGCACAGTTTACTGCAGATGAGAAGTTGCAATTCTACTGTCAATTACAATGTTACAAAAGATTTCCATTTCAAATAAATGCTGTTCTTTTGAACTTTCTATTCATCTGTGAATCCTGAAAAATAAAACACCGAAGACTGGAGTAACGATGCTGAAAATTTATTTGAAATAGTAAAAAATTTTCACAATTTTTACTGTATTTTCGATCAGAAAATGAGCAAAAGAGACTTATTGAAAGATCTTACAGACGCCAACTTTTGAACAGTAGTGTATATTATATCAGTTCCTGAAAAACAGTCACTTTACGACAGTCGTACGCACCTCTTCGTGTATCGCGCCATGTCCCAGGCGATGTACTCGATGCCGTGCTCCGGCGGGAGGAACTGGTTCAGGTTGGTGATAGCGGGATAAAACTCCTCACTCAGGATCTTCTCATGCTTTCTCTTCTCTCGTTTCTGACAAAACCAAAATCACCAAATCGACAATTATCACACACGGATTCCAACAATTTAACCTCAACTTATAACAAAAAATATGCAAATATGCAAGACAATGTGCGGCTTAATGTTTAGCAAATTTGTGCCAAACAAAATCGCAGCAAATATTTGGGAACAACAGACAACTCAGTAAAAAAAAAAAAAAAAAAAAAAAAAAAAAACACCATAAAGGTTTATTTTTCTAGGTTGTAAATAAAACAAAGATTATTAGAGTACGTTTTACGAGAAAATACTATTTCAGTCTTACGACTTCGAAATTTCACGTTTAATTCAATGCGTTACTTGCCGATTCTTTGTAGTTACTTGTTCAATTTACTAGCAATTACATCAAAAGTAAACCTTACATCAATTTTTTTTAGTGTGTTGGAAAATAACGCGTCCTAGAAAAACTATGTAGGTAAACTTTAGCAAACTAAAGCAATAAGCCCCAAGAAGCCGTTTTATAACATTCAACAAAGCATTGTTTAACACTTAAAACACATGAAACGTGTTTGCCAGGACACTATATTTTCATAAGAACATTTCTGTACAAATAAGGAGTTTTAAATGCATAAATCACATGCATTTTATCATAGAAACACAACTTTAAGAATCTTTTACCCCCTTTTATAAAATGCTAAATTGAACAATGCACCAAAATTAATATGTTATTACATGTGTTTTAAATGCATAAATAATATGCATTTCATCATTAAACGATATTCAAGAATCTTTTTTTTTTATTTAATAAGAGAATAGAGAATATTACTGTGTTGAGTATTACTATTTTTACTGTATTTTTGATCAAATAAATGCAATTTAGAGAATCATTTGCTCTCTTATTTTGAAATTCTGAATTAAATAATGAATCAGAATTAATAAACACTGCATTTTATTTTTTACGTTGGAGGACATCAGAGATTGCATGAAAATGAAATGTTGCAGCAACATTCACCAAAGATTTGACAGGGCAATATATTTCCATAAGCACATTTCTACACCAATAATTAGTTTTAAATGCAGAATTACTATTTGTACTGTATTTTGACCAAATAAATGCAAATTAGAGAATCATTTGCTCCCTTTTTAAATGCTGAATTAAAATAATGAATCAGAATGAATAAAAACAGAGTTTTTTACTCTGGAGAACATCAGAGACGGCATGAAAAAAACACATGAAACGTTTCAGTATCATGAGTTTTAAATGCATAAATCATATGCATTTTATCACAGAAACACAATTTGAGAATCATTTTCTCCCTTTTTGTTTTAAAAATGCTGAATTAAATAATGAAGCAGAATTAATAAACGCTGCATTTTTACTGTGAAGAACATCAGATTTTGCATTAAAAAGAAAAAGACATGAAACATTTTCATAAGCATGCTTTTTAAATGCATAAATAATGTGCATTTTATCATGGAAACACAACTTTGACTCCCTTTTTTCAAATGCTGAATTAAATAATGAATCAGAATGAATTAGCAATGCTGTATTTTGCAGCACTGCTCATGATGTGGATGACTCAAACAAACGTCCTCCTCCTAAGCCATGACTAATCCACCATCAATGCTAGTAAGATATTATACATCCGTCGCACACTCCGGCAAACACACGTGAACGATCTGTGCTTTACACATTCAATCCTTGGGCCACATTTGCACATGCTGCTGAACGACTCCAGCGTTCACAGAAATCGTTCTGCGGTCACCTGAGTTTCCTGCGGCCCACAATGCCGTCTGCCTCCCACAGACACACACACACACACACACACACACTCCACTGGAGGCCAGTGACAAACACACACACACACAGAGTTTATGCTGGAGCTCAATGTGCTCACAAACACACATTACACACAAACCACACTAAGTGTGTTTGACCGCACACGTGTTGCGACCACATGTTCCGGTGCGCTAAATGTGTGGAGTTAATTAGATCGCATGTAATGCACCTCATTTGGGTCATTAAGGCTCTTTTGTCACACGCTTTTATCTGGAAAGTATACGGTGAATCACACATTGAAACAAAGCCATAAACACACATGCACATGTGTTTTCAACATGCCAGGATTGTGCTTTCGGATCCCTTTCTGACACTCAAATGGGCATCACATGGCTCATGTATATGTGTTTCTGGCTCAAACTGTGATTTGGGTCGTTGTTCTGGTGTACTACATGACAGCAAACGTGAGAGATGGGAAATCTAGACAGTAGCTTTTATTCAAAAGCGTTTCTTCATGTGTGCAGTCTGTTGTCTTTATAATAAGTGCATTAGATGCTAAAAGTGTTCATGTGAAGCACACAGAGCACATGCATTAGCATTTTTTAAAATAAATTAATACTTTTATTCAGCAAGGATGCATTCATTTGATCAAAGATTTCTATTTCAAATAAATGCTGTTGTGATAAAACTATGAAAAATGTGAACTTTCTCAACATAAATAATAATAAATGTTTTTTGAGCAGCAAATCAGCATATTATACTGATTTCTGAAGATCATGTGACACTGAAGACTGGAGGAATGATGCTGAAAATACAGCTGCACATCACAGAAATAAATTAAATGTTAACATATATTCACATAGAAAACAGCTATTTTGAATTGTAATAATATTTCACAATTTTTACTGCATTTTTGATCAAATAAATAAATGCAGCCTAAAAGAGACATTTTAAAAAAACTACTAACCCCAAAAGTTAATGCACGTGAAAAGAAGCACAAAAAATTAGCTAAAATGGTGTTCGCAACACAATGTGACCGTGCAACAAAATATTTAACGTGAAATAATGCAAGGTGATATGATGCAATAATTGTCATTAATATCAATAATGTAATAATGCAAAAAACTATAATGATCCTAAACAAATAGGCTTTATTTTCTTTATGCAAAATATATATATTTTTTTTATATTTGAATTTATTGCCATATCTTCTAAAGCCTATTTTATTGCAGAACATAAATCAAACATTCAAGAAAATTCAGCTTATTAAAGTTTAGACAATTCTGTACAACAAAACTCTATTAAAATTCTTTAGTTGTACATCTGATAAAAAAATCTATGTTTTCTTGAGCCCATCGTACATAACATGTCTTTCATAATTATGACTTAGTAACTCATAATTTTGACTTTTTGTTATAATTATGGCTTAGCATCTCATCATTTTGACTTTTTATGTCATAATGAATCAGTATCTCATAACTTTTACTTTGTCATAACTATGACTTAGCATCTTACATTTTTTGACTTATGTCAATTATGACTTAGTATAGACTTTTTATCATAATTATGACTTAATATCACAAAATGTTGACATTTACGTCATAATTATGACTTTGTATCTCATAATTTTGACTTTTTATGTCATTTAATTAGATCACATGTAATGCACCTCATTTGGGTCATTAAGGCTCTTTTGTCACACGCTTTTATCTGGAAAGTATACGGTGAATCACACATTGAAACAAAGCCATAAACACACATGCACATGTGTTTTCAACATGCCAGGATTGTGCTTTCGGATCCCTTTCTGACACTCAAATGGGCATCACATGGCTCATGTATATGTGTTTCTGGCTCAAACTGTGATTTGGGTCGTTGTTCTGGTGTACTACATGACAGCAAACGTGAGAGATGGGAAATCTAGACAGTAGCTTTTATTCAAAAGCGTTTCTTCATGTGTGCAGTCTGTTGTCTTTATAATAAGTGCATTAGATGCTAAAAGTGTTCATGTGAAGCACACAGAGCACATGCATTAGCATTTTTTAAAATAAATTAATACTTTTATTCAGCAAGGATGCATTCATTTGATCAAAGATTTCTATTTCAAATAAATGCTGTTGTGATAAAACTATGAAAAATGTGAACTTTCTCAACATAAATAATAATAAATGTTTTTTGAGCAGCAAATCAGCATATTATACTGATTTCTGAAGATCATGTGACACTGAAGACTGGAGGAATGATGCTGAAAATACAGCTGCACATCACAGAAATAAATTAAATGTTAACATATATTCACATAGAAAACAGCTATTTTGAATTGTAATAATATTTCACAATTTTTACTGCATTTTTGATCAAATAAATAAATGCAGCCTAAAAGAGACATTTAAAAAAAACTACTAACCCCAAAAGTTAATGCACGTGAAAAGAAGCACAAAAAATTAGCTAAAATGGTGTTCGCAACACAATGTGACCGTGCAACAAAATATTTAACGTGAAATAATGCAAGGTGATATGATGCAATAATTGTCATTAATATCAATAATGTAATAATGCAAAAAACTATAATGATCCTAAACAAATAGGCTTTATTTTCTTTATGCAAAATATATATATTTTTTATATTTGAATTTATTGCCATATCTTCTAAAGCCTATTTTATTGCAGAACATAAATCAAACATTCGAGAAAATTCAGCTTATTAAAGTTTAGACAATTCTGTACAACAAAACTCTATTAAAATTCTTTAGTTGTACATCTGATAAAAAAATCTATGTTTTCTTGAGCCCATCGTACATAACATGTCTTTCATAATTATGACTTAGTAACTCATAATTTTGACTTTTTGTTATAATTATGGCTTAGCATCTCATCATTTTGACTTTTTATGTCATAATGAATCAGTATCTCATAACTTTTACTTTGTCATAACTATGACTTAGCATCTTACATTTTTTGACTTATGTCAATTATGACTTAGTATAGACTTTTTATCATAATTATGACTTAATAATTTACCCTTATGACTGATTTTGTCGTCCAGGGTCACCTTTTTTTCTCTCACAATTAATCTCAATTATGACTTAGTAAATAATAATAATAACTTTTTATGTCAATTAAAACATACTAAATCATAATTACATAACATTATATAATAATCTGATAACAGGTTGAAATTATGAGAAAGTCATTAACTTCAGTAGATGACATAGTATCTCAAAATGTTGACTTAAGCATTATTTTCGCATCATATTGACTTCTTATAATTACTTTGACTTAGTATGTGACAATTATGACTTATGTCGTCATATTTATGACTTGGTTTGTCATCATTTTAACCTTTACATCATAATTATGACTTAGTATCTCATAATGTTTAGTTTCTGTTGTAACGACTAAGTATCTCATAGTTTTGACTTTTTGCATCATAATTATGACTTAGTATCTCATAATTTTGACTGTTAAAATGATGGCTTAGTATCTCATAATGTTTCATTTCTGTTGTAACGACTAAGTATCTCATAGTTTTGACTTTTTGCATCATAATTATGACTTAGTATCTCATAATTTTGACTGTTAAAATGATGGCTTAGTATCTCATAATGTTTCATTTCTGTTGTAACGACTAAGTATCTCATAATTTTGACTGTTAAAATTATGGCTTAGCATCTCATAATGTTTCATTTCTGTTGTAACGACTAAGTATCTCATAATTTTGACTTTTTACATCATAATTATGACTTAGTATCTCATAATTTTGACTTAAAATTATGGCTTAGCATCTCATAATGTTTCATTTCTGTTGTAACGACTAAGTATCTCATAATTTTTACTTTTTACATCATAATTATGACTTAGTATCTCATAATTTTGACTGTTAAAATTATGGCTTAGCATCTCATAATGTTTAGTTTCTGTTGTAACGACTAAGTATCTCATAATTTTGACTTTTTGCATCATAAATATGACTTAGTATCTCATAATTTTGACTGTTAAAATTATGGCTTAGCATCTCATAATGTTTCATTTCTGTTGTAACGACTAAGTATCTCATAATTTTGACTTTTTATGCCATATTTTTTCTTATGTGAAATGGGCTTTCATATGAACATGACATGAACCATTAAAGACAAATCAATGTGCACTATGTGGGTCAAAAATCTGCGCTGAGCAGCAGGCTACAATCTAACTGTGCAGTTGCAAACCTGTAAACAGATTAGAGCACAAAACACAAATCACTCCTGGAAGTAGGTTATGAGATACACAAATAACTCCCCTTTACATGGATTCATTAACACCCCACAAAGTGCATTCAAAGTCGGCGTAATCAAACACTTGAGTACTGAAAAGTCCTTCAGCAGGTCAGAGAAAGCTCATGGAGATGGAAGCGTGTTGCATGCTAGTGATGAAAGAGAAAAACTGTGTCTCATCTTCTTGCAGCACCCCAAACAATCAATGAAAGATGGCCGAGACTCGAGCCTTGCGTAACAACTTCTCTCTAGTTTTTGTTTAGCAGAAAATCGATATATGTTATCCTGGAAGCCCTTTGTGCGAGTGCTGTTTTAAACCTATTATCGAACTGACCTAATTACAGAAAACATTCTTCATAAACCCTCATCTTCTTCTGACAGCAGGACATTGCATCAGGCAAATTGCATAATGCATTAGAAAGATGAGTAAGTGCAGAGGATGATGAGTCTGGAAATGAAGAAAATCACATCTAATTTATCATAACTAAGAGCTTTGGGTCGCATTCGAGTGTCATTTTTGATAAAATGCACAGTAGAAAACTGGTTCTTCTGCAACTGGTTCCTTAAAAAAATGAGATCAACATGCTGTTTTTGTCCGGACTTGAGCTATTGGATCAGTTTTATTTGCCAAAAACTAAGAAAAAAGTCAGATGGGATTGTCTTTGTTATTGTGCTTAATTACTTACAGATACAAAGTCACAATGATGAGAGAAAATGTACGAGGTACTAAGTCATAAAAATGAGATAAAAGTAATTATTATGACATAAAAAGCCATAATTATAATATTAAATCGAAATTATGAGATACCTAGTCATCATTATGAGATAAGTCACTATTATGACATAAAAAGTCAATTATAATATTAAGTCAAAATTAAAAAAAAAGTTTAAAAGTTTATACGAAGTCATCATTCTGAGACAAAAGTCATAATTATGATATTAAGTCGAAAATTATGAGATACCAAGTCTTCTTTCAGAGAAAAAGTCATTATTATGGCATAAAAAGTCATAATTATGATTTTAAGGTGAAAATATGATATAATAAGTCATCATTATTAGACAAAAGTCATTATTATGACAGGAAAAGTCATAATTATAAGGTGAAAATATGAGATACCTAGTCATCATTATGAAATAAAGGTCATTATGACATAAAAAGTCAATTATAATATTAAGTCAGAATTGAGATACTAAGTCATCATTCTGAGACAAAAGTCATAATTATGATATTAAGTCGAAATTATGAGATACCAAGTCATCATTACTAGATAAAAGTCATTATTATGACAGGAAAAGTCATAATTATAAGTTGAAATTATGAGATACCTAGTCAACCTAAAAAGTCAATTATAATATAAAGTCAGAATTGAGATACTAAGTCATCATTATGAGACAGCTCACATCTGAATGTGTCGATGTCCTGCCAATAACAAACTGCAGCTGTGCGATGCTTTCAAAGCACTGATGCATCACAAGCCCGAGATAATTAGTGTTGGACAGGAATCTTCTATTTGAAGCAAAAAGACTATATTGAACCCGAGCAAACACACACACACGCACGGTTGAGGACACTAGCGGTAAGCAATCTAAGATAAGCAGCGAGCGCACAGCAGGATCAGCGTGAGACGCTGTACATATGAAATGTCATCTTGCTCTGGATGAGAAGCGGTGAAATGGGTTCAGCAGCAACAAGATGAGCGCAAATAGAAAGAGATAACGCAAGAGAAGAGGAGAGATCCTCAGACGGCCCTGGTGATGTCACCAAACAGAGAAGAATCTGCTAACAACGCTTATGAAAACCAGAAGTAACAAATGATGCTCAGGTAGATATGAAATTAAAAGTAGCGGCAGATTTTTTCTTCTGTATTGTGATGTGTATGTCCAAGTGGATATAAGAAAAATCTCAAAGAAGAATCTTTAATATTAAATTGGGCCAGAACGCCTCCTGAACTTTCTGCTAAATTAAAAAAAAATAAAAAATAATAATAAATTCTGCAAAAGGGTATAAAATTAAGAACAAAAAAATAAAAAATAAATAAAATAAGTACAGATTTTATCTATTTTGCAGAAGAGTACAAAATAAAAAATATATAAAATTGAAAAAATAAAAGGAACTAATAACAGTTAACTGTGTTTTGCTAAAATAATAAAAAATAATTTATTAAAATAAAATTTTGTACATTTTTAAAGACTCTGATGGCTGTGTTTGCATACTTTCTGTACTAAATGAAGAACTTATTTTAAATTTCTAAAAAAATAAAAATAAAAGTCTGACCTCAAAACTTAAATAAAATAAAAAATAAAATAAAATGGATTTTAACTATATTTTCAGAAGGGAATAATGGGTAAAAAAAAATAAAAATAATAAAAACTATTTTGCAGAAGGGTACAAAATAAAAAACAATTACAAATAATAATAAAAAAAGAATAAAAAATAAAATAAAATAAAATAAAGAAAAGAACACATATTCAGACATGGGGTATGATTTCAGTGCTGAAAATCAAAATAAAATGTATATAAAATAAAACAATAAAAAATAATGAAAATTTTTAATTTAAAAAGTAGGTTTAGATTCTCTACATTTTGTATATTTTTAAAGACTCTGATGGCTGTGTTCGTACACTTTCGGTACTAAATGAAGAACTTACTTTAAATTTCTAAAAATAAATAAATCGGTCCCCAAAACTTAATAAAACAATAAAATAACATAAAATGAAATAAAATAAATTTTAACTATATTTTGCATGGTATAAAATAAAATGATAGTAATAAAAAAATGAATGGAATTTAATTGATATTTACTAGACTTCAAACTATATTTAAGAT